AGTCTTCATCTCCTTTGACTACAGTAAGCTGCTTTCTTCTCTGAACAGCTCCAGCAGATGCAAAATGCTTCTGCATGTCAGGTATACAGATAAAAGAAGCACTATACCCTATTTTCTCCTATTTTGTGCAATTCGGAAGAGAGTTGTGTAACTCAAAGCAGAGCTATTATATTTTCAATGTGCTGTGGGCTTGCTTCAACCCACCCCAATGATCTCCCTTATCTTCTACACGTTCTTTTCTTTGATCTGGCACTGGCCCTTTCATTTTAACCACACTGATCACAACTGCTGTGACAACTGTCTCTCCGTAGGTCTCCAATCATGTAACAAACATGTTAAGTGTGACTCCTCTCACTCATCTTCAGCATTTCTATTTACACTGACCACCTTCCTCCTTTCTTTAAGTATCAAAAAAAAGGAAGCACATTCAGGGCACGGTCCATGTTGGTCCAAGGGGGAACTCTGCCACAGAGCTGCCTCTCTCTCTCTGCCATGGAGAAAGCAGAAAGCCTAATTCAGATGCACAAGTCTACATAACAGATGTCTACCTTTGATTGGATCAATATAAAAGTTTGTGTCCATCCCTTTGCTTGCTGTCTGGCTTGGCTGAAATATCACCTGAAAACCAACTGCTCTTCCTTGAAAGAGTTTTTATTAACAACTTACATAATTTTCAGGTGTAGTTTGTGTGAAATATGTGGACTCAATCCTTCTGTGTTGTCACTTTGCCCCGATTTCTTAAGGTTCAGACTCTAAGGGTCTTTTCTGGGGTAGAAATGGGTGCCATGTGTCATACTAATGAATACTATACAATAAGGATACCTAGGCAGAACGATTAGCATACATGTTTACAAATTAACATGCCTTTACTGGATAATGCATAACTTCCTTTGGGAGGCTAATGCCAATGATTATGTAACATATTTCTTTTCCCTATTATTTTTCACCCTCAATTATTATAATACTTCTGTTACATTCCTGTAAGACCTCCGTTACAGAGCTATGTTTGCATGTGAGCATTAAAGATTACTCCAAAAGCAGAAAACTGCCAATACCTATAGCTGCGTTGAATATAATTGCAAGGGGAAGTGATAGCCCAGTTAAATATAATTGCAAGGGGAAGCGCTGACAAAGGCAGAGGGCAGATCATAATTCGCAGGTGTCTCGAGTGCTCGCAGCTTTCCCTGACAGCACTTTGTGTGTGGGAGGAGGCTGCGAGCGAAGCTCCCTGCTACAGCGCTAGGTGCGTCTGAGCTAGGCACAAGCTCTGGGACTTCAGCAAAAATAACCCAAATAAGTAAGTTTTGGTGCTGTGGCCATGAGAAATGCTCTCCTCTACCTATATACTGTGGGAACCTGTCTAACTACAGCCCTTGGCACCCACCAGCATTGCGTCTTATCCAGAAATGCTAGGTTTACGTCCTCTGTCAAAAAAAAAAAAAGCAAGCCATAAGAATATATTCATTAGGGAACAAGTTTCAGTGGTTTGAAGTGTCACCCCTGAACAATGATTTTTTACCTGCCTTTTGCCTGAGACCGCTGACAGCAGCGCTGGTGGAATGAAGCACGTGCATGATTCTCGGCTGCTTCAATATGAGGGCCAACAAATTAACTCAAAGTGCTGATAAGGAAGTTTATTGACAGATTTTGTGATGAAATGGATATAGAAAGATTAGCGGTTTCCACCCCGGGATTGTTGTGAAGGCAGGAACTTGCAACAGAGCAGCAGAAGTGATACGTCTTACATCCTTGCAGCCACGTTTCCTGGCCAGGCAATACGAAAGGCTATGAAATGCCGTGCTCAGATCTGCTTTCCTTCACCTCATTAGCAGGTTTATGAACTTCAGATGGCCTGTTAGCCCTTTCTCATCCTGTTGTCCCTGGAGGAGACAGAGCACTATAGCTACAAGCTTTAGAGTGCGAAAGAGCAGGAAGATGGACTGGAGGGCCCCTGAGATCCCTTCCAACAACAAATTATCCAATGATCCTTATCGGTAGTGTGCAAGGGTAGTATTCAGGGTTGCCAGTCTGGAGATCTGGTTGTTTTCCTGCTGCTTCCTTGTAAGTTTCAGTTACTTGTAAGATCTTGGCAAATTGGTTAGACCACGTTTTCCAAATCAAACCTTCCCTCTAAGGGGTCCAGCTAGAGTGCAATGCCATGACTGTATCTGCACCTGGTTTTCAATGGGAAGTCAATGGGAGAACAGTTACCTATGTCACCAGGAAGCAGCCCACGGGAAAAAATAATAAAAAAAAAAAATACAATAAAACAAAAGAAACCCAGAGGTCACGACCAAACAACCAACACGACTTCTCCATGTCACAACTGCTCAGCTGAGAGATGTGACTCTCAGCCAAAGCGGTTCATGTGTGGGCTGCTGTGAGAGGAGGTGTGTGTCCTGGAGGAAGGAGATGGGAGGAGTCCTGTGGTTAAATACTATGGTGGTGTCAGGGACTGCTCTCTCTCTGCTCCCCCAGGACGCCTGGAGCTCTCTCAGGTCTGCACAGCATCTACGCTATGTGGAAAACCAGCAGGAATCGATGCCTCGCGCAGGCAAGTGGGGGAAGTCTGGGAAAAGGGCAAGCCAGACTTGCAGCTGCTCCGAATTCGTCATGATCTTGGCCCCAGTTCTGCAATCCTCACAAAGGCGTAAAAATCCCTGCGTGATTCCGAGGGAAGCCAGACATGCGCATGGACGCGAGTGACACATACACACATGCCGTGTTATTTAAGAGGCCCCGCTCAGCTCCTCGCTTCATTCCCTGCTCTTTCACTGCCGTTAGTGAATGTTTCTGAGGCTGCTGCTGTGCAGGGACTCGGCTGCATGGGAAACATGCCGTGGTCTCACAGGGTTAATCCTGCCCCCTCATTCCCGGCTTCCCGGTGCCTCACACAGCCCTGCTTTGGGGTCAGCTAGCTGGGGATTTCATCCCGCTAAAACCTACGTGGCTTGTTTTTCTTTTCGGAGGGGTATAACTGGCTTGCAGATGGATCAGACTCCGGATCTGCCTTACCAGATGGCAACCCGAGTGTTATTGTTGTGTAAGTGGCAGGAAAGCACAACCAGGATCGGGAAAGAAGGCAGGACTGCCCCCTTTGGCAGCAACACGGACACAGGGAGGCTCACGTTAGCTGTGAAATCATATCCTTCCAGAGATTTATTGTTTTCCTTTTAGGAGAACCAGCTGTTTATCTGGCATGTGTGCTTGAGACACGCTGCGGGACATTAATTCTCAGCAGTAACACGAGCCGGGCACTGGCGTTTGATCGGGCTGCTGCTCATCACCAGGGATCCCTTCGGTCCTAGGGGAATCCTCAGGGATCCCTTTGGTCCTAGGGGAGTCCTCAGGGATCCCTTTGGTTCTAGGGGAGTCCTCGGGGATCCCTTCGGTCCTAGGTGAATCCCCAGGATCTCGTGCTCAGTTGCTATGTAAAAGCAGTGAAACCCGCGGGCAAAACAGTCTCTGAGGGCAGAGGGCAACTGCGAATTTCCTCTTTCTTGTCGCTCCCACTGCTTAGGTGGAAAGAGAGCAGTTTTATGTTCTGTAGTGTGAAAATCCACTAAAACATAATGAAGTAAAGACTGCACAAAATATAGAGAGGACCGCAGAGCACAGCACAGCGCTGCAACTGCACGGGCAGCTCAGCCGCGAACCTGGAAGCCTCTGGATTTATTATTTCCCACTTTTTTCCCCCGCTCTCCACACAACGGGTCACCGCCCCCCCCCCC